GGGTCCACCCCCCTTTGGGCACAGCAACAGGAGGGGCAGGCTCGGTGGGGCAGAGTGCTCGCTACCTCTACACTGCTACTGGCCTCCACCAGTACTACTATCAGACCAGGTTTGTCCATGACACCATGGTGGCCAGACTCACACCAGAGGACATCAAGAAGGCCAGGGAGGCTAAGCAGGCCCTTGCCAAACCTGTCAGACAGAAGGTTGGTTGATGGACTCATTCTACAGAAAAAAAAAGAATTTTATTACAGATTATTTACAGTACATCAGATATATACTGTTGCTGTAATGTTGTTATACCTGTGATGCACACCATGGCTATATGGTTACATTTGTTTATTTTAGTGATTGTTCAGAAGGAAGAATGTGAATCAGATACTTGGTTTATGTCTACAATAGAAGCAGTATACTTAAAAATAAAACAGAATGTGAAGCTCAGAATGGTGGAGTTTTGTGCTCTTTGAGAAATTGTTACTGTTGTTTCAAAGTTTAGTTGTTTAACTGTCACACAGTCATACATATATGTTGCACATCCACCTAGCATATGCTCCTTTTATAACGGGTAAGTTCAGCTTGTCAACAAAAAGCGTGTTCCTGGGGTGATAAGTGTATTTTAATCTCTTGTACACAGATGTTGTTTAAATATACTGTATTTTTGTTTTCATAGTTTTAGTGGTGCACATTATTAGATACAAACTTGACAGGCACCTGGACTATAGAAGACTCATCATATATAATGTGGGTCATATACTCTACATGACCTCTGAGATTAATTTCAAAGTTACTGTCTGAAGAGTTTTCCCCTTTGATTCTCAAGTCACAAACAACAACAAAAAACCCAGATTTGATTCCAAATAGATGTACTAATTGTTTTTATTATTTGTTAAATATAAATGGCATGCCTTCCTTCCAGTTGAGTGACCGTGCTAGAGAGAGGAAGGTGCCTGTCACAAGAATCAGCAGGCTGGTTAACTTTGGAGGTAAGAACAATATACCTTTCATCAGATTTTCCAATTTTGTGCATATCACACATTGTTCACGCTTTTGTTTGTCACTCCAGATTCCAGATGACTCCAGCACAACAGGAGAAATAAAACCTTGTACAATAAAATGTATAAATTATGAAACACACAAGCGTGTCCAGTTTTTGTTGAAACTGTTCTATAGAGATATTGATTCAACTGTTTGGTCATTTTGGAGGCTGTAGTTTGTGGTGCTGTTGAACTGTTTTGAATTATACTGTCAGGTGTTTCTATTATTTTACCCAATCATTTTATATAAATGAAGGCAGACTATATACAGAAGGTATACACTGCCAGGCAAAAGTTTGGATTCAGTTCATTGGGAAAGTGTCCAGACTATGAACTGATAGTGGTTATTTCTATATACTTATTGGAAAGTTCTGCTTTAGTACATTCATGATAGAAACCTCAGTTTTAAGATTTGTTTTCCATTCACTGTACTTGAATATAAAGTATTTCCATTGGAAACTGCTCTCCAAAGTCATTCCTTGTTCATAATTGAAAGGCAATGTTTCTGCATTTTGTCAACAGCAGTGAGGAGCTGTTTTGACTTAAACTATGTTTTCTTCAAGTGCCAGAAAGTAAAACCGTTTTGCAAAAGATATCCAAATCTGATTTTACTCAACTAGTAAACAACAACAGCAGCAGCTGTGTCAGATCAGCACTTCTCTCAAAAATCTCTTTAGTGGGCCTAAATCAAAAATCATTTGTGTCTCTGTCTCCATTCTGCAGGACTGGCAATAGGGCTGGGGATTGGAGCCATTGCAGAAGTGGCAAAGCAGTCGCTAGGAGGGAAACAAAAAGGAGGTACAAATATATCCTCACTCACCCTCTTGTGCTCCCATCCCGTGCTTGGCAGATCCATTAGACAAATGTGTCAGCACCTGCTAAGCACTGGGCAAGCTTTAAATTTAACCTGTTAACAAGAATTCAAACAGAGGCTTTGTGTGTCAAATGAACAGTGCTTAATGATTCACCACTGCATCAGTTTTTACACTTTATTTACAACTGGGTCGGTTTAGAGCCAGAGCTTGGTTCTTTCATGAGTTATTAGATGAGGCAGTTTGAAGATAATTGTGAAGACAAATGACTGTTTATACAGTTGTCCTTCTATGTTGTGCCTGACATAATTGCTAATAACCCTTCTCTGTCTGTATGTGCTGTTGTAGATGCGAATGCCTTGTTAGACTCTCCTCTCCTGTCAGAGGCAAATGCTGAGAGAATAGTTGACACACTGTGTAAAGTCCGCGGTGCTGCTCTTAAAATAGGACAAATGCTCAGCATTCAAGGTATGCAATGTAACAGTGACATCACCCCAAAATGCTGTTCAGTCGGTGGATTTCTTAGCAATGAAAATGTTTTAATCTTTTCTTCTTCAGACAACTCCTTCATCAACCCACAGCTGCAGAAGATCTTTGAGAGGGTCCGACAGAGTGCAGACTTCATGCCCACACGGCAGATGACTGTAAGTATGAACTGACCCTCCTGTCTCCAACACTTAGTCAGCTTGTGGACTATCAGTAAATCATGCCAAAAAAGCACTGCAGTGTTTCTGACCAAATGAGATGGCATAAAAGATGGTTTAACTAAGCATTAACAGGTGCTGTTTGATGTTTGTAGATTTTATGTTGTCGCGGCTTCCCTTCAGAGTAAGATTTTTGTTTTGTGTCGGTCTGACTGTGTAGAAAGTTCTAGAGGAGGAACTGGGACCAGACTGGCGAAAGAAGCTATTATCCTTTGAAGACAAACCGTTTGCTGCAGCTTCCATCGGACAGGTGCATCATGGGGTGTTAAAAGATGGTAGAGAAATCGCCATGAAGATCCAGGTAGGAGGATAGTCTTACCCACACTATTTCTGTCTTCCTCACAGCTTTTATTATTATCTTTCTGCACTTATTTGGCTGTCTATTATTCCCATATTCATCCCAGTACCCTGGAGTGGCAGAGAGTATCCGCAGTGACATAAACAACCTGATGTCTGTGCTGAAAATGAGCGTAGCTCTGCCAGAAGGTAAGAGCTATTAATGCTATAGTAATTATTCAAATTTTATTTTAGACAAAAGCATATATTTATATGGAAGGTTGTGGTATTGGTATTGAAGAGTGCATTCATGACTGAATGTCACACATTATCTTAAATTACCAAATTCAGGTTTGTCAGCAGAATTGGCTAAGCATGAGTAACAACAGCTAATTCCAGAGGTTTGGTGGTAATGACATACTGATGTTATCTTGAAACAGCTGGACATTTCAAGTTATCATTATATAAGGGGAAGACTCCTGTTGATTTGTTTCTGCTTTGTTCTTTTTTCCATTCCAGCATTTAGACCATGAGGTGGTGCTGTAGTTGCAGGTCAAAACTTGTTGCTTTGTGACAGTTAGGATATCTGCAACATGAATTGAGATTTTACTGGTTTCTTTGTTGTACCCCATACCACGTACTAAAGTCAAAACATGGAATTTGGTTATCAGTTAAGTACATTTTTGTGAGCTTCCCATAAGATTTGCACAAACAAGAACAAAACAGCTAAAGTTGAATAAAAATCACAAGTACAGACTAACCTTTGTCAGACATACGGTATATAGTACACTGATCAAAACTGTTGACATTTAATAGACAGCTGATACAGTTGTGATAGTAATTTCTAGTAGAGGTAGAGGGGATTTCCAGGAACATTGGCAGACCCAGTTAAGTGTGGAACAGACAGGTCATCTTAAATATACAGACAGTTTGTGTGAGCACAATAGATTCCGTGCAATTCAAGCCTCTATTTTGACAGCTGAGAGATGACAGGAAAGACAGGAGAGAGAGGCAGGGAGTGGCATACAACAAATTTTCCACGGTCGGACACAAACTAGGAGCTCCTTAACACTCAGGCCGCCGGTGTGTCCTATACACTGGGTGTTCAATGCCATGCTCATGACTTAATTGCTACACTGTAGGTTTTATGCCTTTTATCCCCATTACAGCCCCACACACATCATGTGGATGATTTTCAGACCCTGTTCAATTGCATAAACCATAGTGTTGTAGTTGAAGTCGACAGAGTCTGCGTATGTTTTCTGTGGTTTTCCATGCTGAGATTTGCACTATTTATGTTTCCACAGGTCTGTTTGCAGACAGCAGCTTAGAAGTCCTTCAGAGGGAACTGGCCTGGGAGTGTGACTATAAGAGGGAAGCAGAGTGTGCCAAGAGGTTCAGGTGGGTTTATGTGGTGTATTAAATCAGAAGGCCTTCTATGCTCAGGCTTATTTAACTACACAGAGTAGAAACCACACCAGGTCAGCTTTGAAATTTCAGGATGGTTACTCTATTATTAGGCAGAGGTTTCTTTGAATGCTTGCTTCTTCTACACACTACATATATTGCACATAGTATGCTGTAATGCAGCTATTTGTGGAGTCCCAGTACCTCAAATGTTTATTTTTATTCACAGTTTCCTCCTTTTCCTTTTCCTCCTTTTCATTTCCTTTCCTCCTTTTGAGCCCAGCTATGTATTGCAATTGTTAAAAGCATTATGGAGAGTATTGTGTTCAGTGTCTGTGGCTTACTATTTCTAGGTAGTATATTTAGACTAGTCTTAAATAGACAACAGCATTATATAAAGTCACAATGTGTAGTCACTGTTAGATATCTTTATGTGCATGTGTTACTGAGTTTTCATATTCTCTATAAAAGCATCAGATAGAGAAGCCATTTATTATGAATGGATTGCATTTATTCACCATTTTTCCAACCATTTGTGGCTGGTCCCCAGGTCCCTTCTGGAGGGAGATGAGTTTTTCCAAGTGCCTCAGGTGATTGATGAGTTGTCAGGACAGAGGGTGCTGGCCATGGAGCTGGTACAGGGAGTCCCCCTAGACCGCTGCGTAGACCTGCCCCAGGAGATCAGGAACCAGGTATGGCTCCTAAAGGCACATGGAATTTCCTCCATGTGATTGATGATGTCAGTGGTACATTGGAGACCGGGAGAGTCATGGACTTGCAGAGGATTTTATAAATGGTTAACTCTGATGGAATCATACATATTGTTCTTGAGAAGATGACATTATCAAATATTACATCATTTCATAATATTCAGTTCGGTTTTCTCTTCACTGAAGCTATATCACTGCATGAAACAAAGTTTTTCAAAGTGAAGGGAAGATCATGTAATTTTATTTAAAGGCCATGGTGAAAATCACGTGAGGACACCTGCCAAAAGATTTAGAAAAGAAACCCTATGACACATGGGAAGAGCAGACTGGATAGGCCAGGTTTTGTTAAAGTCTACTGTAATGCATTTCTTTGTTTCACCTGTGCTTAAAGATAAGATTCAGTTTGGAGATTTTGTAGGATATTCTCCCCTTGTCAGTAAGCAGAAGCATAATTTAAATCACTCTTATTGTAGCTTATGACATGTCAGTATGACAAGTACAGGAGACAAGTTGTTTGCTGACAGATTATGCAGCATGACCTCAAACACTGAAGATAACAGCTGCAGTGAAGATTAGACTGCATATTACTTTAACATGCTCTGTGTTTAACAGTTTGAGATTTAATAACTTGTATGTCATACTGTAAGGAAGCATGTCTAGATATGTTGAGTGTGGCAGTGTGTTGTACCATGACATAGCCACACTTCTGCTTTAACAGCAACATCTTCAACATTTCTGATGCACTAACGTGGACACAGCATCAGTGTTCTATTCTGGAGACACTGTTGAAGCAGGTTGGTGCTGCGCTCCCAAATCTAGCCCTGCCTTTAGCTTTGATTCTAACAAGGGCCTTGTGCCTCAGCCAAGCTCCTGCCTGCTGGAATGCCTCAGCTGCCATCCACTTACTCTGTGTTCTCACTGCAATCCCTGCTCCATGCACCTTCAGTTCCAAGGATCCAGTGTACTGCTGATGTTCCTGTGTCCGTGTGATGATAAACCCTTCCCTGACAGAGCTGAATGGAAGCTTTCGCTTATTGCTGTTTCCATACAGTGCAATGCTACTCAAACTCCACAGGGCACCCAGCCATTCCATAGAAAACAGCTTACCTTTTGCTCATAGGATTCTTGGGAGGATTCCATTTTGGTAGATCCAGGCCTTGAATCCTCTGGGGAGCTCAGACTTGTCCATAACTCTCAACCAGTCCTCCAGGTCGGTTTTCGTCTCTTTGAAGGAATCTGCATCCTTCAAGCTACTGTTGAAGACCTTCCCCAGCCGTTTCACTGGTTTCTCCATAATGAGTGATATCTGTAAAATAATATTTATGAAAAAGGTTTTATACATCCAATTAGACCAAGACCTATAGCTTGAAAATGGCACAACTTATATTACAACATAGCAGTAACCACAAACCTCTCTTTCTCTCTCCAGATTTGTTTCAGTATCCTTCAGTTGTGTCTCAGGGAGCTGTTTGAGTTCAGGTTCATGCAAACAGATCCAAACTGGGCCAACTTCTTCTACAACGCAGACACAAACAAGGTGAGGGGAATCCTCATAAAGGAGTAGTCTAATACAGACCAGGATGGCATATGCACCAAATAATTGTGCCAAATAAAACCATTAGCAGATGTATAACACTCGTCTTGTCTTTAGGTTGTTTTGTTGGATTTTGGAGCATGCAGAAGCTACCCACAGTCATTCACAGATGACTACATACAGGTATGATCAATCCAAAATTATAAGACACCCATTAGTCAACTTTACAACATACTTTATGCAACACAATTTCTGTGTATAATTACACCTTAGACTAAATTTTGCAACAGCTGAGGTAAAACAGTCATACGCGCCACATGCATGTACAAATGTTCCACTAGCTACTGTTACTCTACCAGTGCCTAACAACATCAATTTGATTGTGTGTGTTGTGTGCTCAGGTGGTACACGCAGCATCCATGGGTGATCAAGCCACGGTTCTTTCCAAATCGAAGGACTTGAAGTTCCTGACAGGCTTCGAGGCCAAGGTGAGATATTTTAGTTTCTGCTGCTATTTCTGATATGGTTTATCCTCCTCTGTCTTTTATGTCTTCTCTGTTCATTTGTCTCTCACTACCTCAGTCTCACTCTTTGTACTTGATGCTTTTTCCCTGAAATTACACTGTATGCGCCTCCTCCTGTTTTTCTGCCCACATTTATGTTTTTGCTGAAAGATTTTATTCTTGTATTTGTTTGCCATACAAAAAAGATGACTTAACATTCATGAACAGACATCTTTGAAAGTTGATGGACATGATGAATTCTTGATTTCAAATCATTTATTATTAGCTATTAACATTGCAAATCTAAGGAACATTTAGAGTGAGTGCTATAAGTAGTTAAAGTTAAGGATGGTCATTTTCTATATTAATAGTATTTTTAGCAATCTCCATACAGAGATTAAAACCGACAATGAATTGCTTCTACTTGGGGTTAATGTCTGTCAGCTGTCAGTCCTGGATCAGCTTATTTGTCTGTGCGATAGACCGCTATTGCTGCTCAAAAACCATTAAAAATACATCAGGGAAACACACCGTTGCACGGAGTGACACTTTTTTTTTTTTCCAAAAAAAGTCCAGACCCGATTATGTTGCCCCAAAGACTGCAAGTGGCCGTAATGTCCTGAACTTAGCATGAGACAGCGTCAGCTGCACATGCACGAGATCTTGTGGGAGCGCTCAACTTTGCTGACGTTCCACTAGCTCCTCAACCTCAAGTCTGGAGTTTGCCAGTGAAGAAATATGTCACCCAGTGCAGTGGTGTGTTTCACTGATGTGTTTTTAAACAACAACAGAGGAATAAGACAATCCGGTCATTAACAGTAAGTAGAGGCAATTCATTGTTGGTTTTAGCCTCTGTATGGGGAGTGGTGAAAATACTATTAATATAGAAGATGACCGGCCTTATCCTTAAAGTGTTGCCCAAACAGTGTGATCTCAAGGTTTTACTTGTATAAACTCCTTATCCTAATATTATATAAAAATGTTGTAACTTTTTTACATGAAAAATTAAATTGTAATCAAAATAAAACATTGTATTAAAGTGTTACATTTCCATCTTTCTCTTACCCTTTTTTCTTTGCAAACCTCCAACTAAAAACGAAGTGCAATAGGTGTACAGTATTTCTCTAAGTATAAACAAGTGAAACAGGTTTGAAGTTTGTGTAGTTTGTATTTTCTGTGTTTTATCACGGGTTGGATACACTGTACATATACTGTACATGCATTTCATGTGTAGTCACTAATTCCCTCATGGTGTATTTGCCAGAGATTTGGTCATAGTTTCCCGTTCTCCAAGCTGTTTTTGTGGGCTCCTTTGTGCACTGTTTGTACACCAAGCACTTCCAATTCACAAGTGAACACATCCCATGCAGACACAAGCGCAAGCCTTGCTTGAGGTGCATGCGAGATGCTACACACTGCAGACACTGTTTTTGATCTGCGCCCCTGCGTGCATGACGTGGACTGTTGTGCCTCTAAATCTGATCAGCACAGAATCGTAAAACTTAGAGTGATCAACTGGTTGAAGCCAATCGCACTGAAAACCGGCCATTGCAGACCTCTGCCGATTGAGAGGTGGATCTCTAGAATCAAAAAACTATTTATTTTACGTTAAGTTGGAGAAGTGAAAATGTATACATATATCAGGGCATTGCATATACAGTATGGTGGCTTTAGGCACACCGGTTATGTTATAACATTTCAAGTAAACATTTCCTCAGGCTGACTCAGAGTATACACACAATCTGTGCTGTGTAAGCATACAGTAAACTGCTCTGCTTTACAGCTACTAGCTTCTATATTGGTCTCTCCTGTCCATATTACTTGACATTAGAAGTCTCAGTTCATTTGATTATTCACACAGAAACACGTGTGCCTCTCTCTGCTCTCCACCAGGCCTTCCAGGATGCCCATGTGGAGGCGGTGATGATCCTCGGTGAAGCCTTTGCATCCACAGAACCCTTTGATTTCGGCACCCAGAGCACCACCCAACGCATCCAGAGCCTCGTTCCCGTCATGCTGCGCTACCGTCTGACCCCTCCACCTGAGGAGACATACTCCCTCCACCGCAAGATGGCTGGCTCCTTCCTTATCTGCTCCAAACTGAAGGCACGCATACCTTGCAAGGAGATGTTCCTGGATGTGTACAATGCCTACAACCAGAGGAGGCAGGCGGAGCAGGCAGCACAAGCCAGTGTTTAAATGCTCAGGGGCAAGGTTACTCCCTACACATGCCTTGGACATTATCAGAGTGGGGACCTAAGTAAAGGAACAGGAAAGATGGAGTCTGAATCTCCAGGTGAAGAGAATGAATCAGACTCATCTATCACTACACCTTGTCAGTATGCAATTGACTGAGGGCCATGGGTGTGCTTGACTTTCCATGGCTCAGCTGAACTCGAATGTGTCTGTACACATTAGACAAATATTTTTAATGACATGGAATTTAATTACTCTAATAATACTAATAATTACTTTAATAATCATGATTATAATTCTGTCAGAACAAATTGTATGATAAAGCCCAAATTGCTCTGTTGATGATTAAACCTGTGTGTTAATTGAAGAGACGTAAATGCAATTAATTTTGTGTTTGTGTGTTTGATCACATTGGCCCTATAGTTGTATCTCTGTCACAGCAAACACACAGTAGAAGGCTGCAGCCCCTCACTTGGCAAGGTGTATTTCCATTGCTCATTCTGACTCCTGCTCACTTTGACATCAAGGTCCACCGTATTTCTAGCAGAACGAGTTATGTTCTGTCTTAAGGACAGATAATAAGTCGTACACTGCCAGGCTGATGCTGCCAAGTGCTCTTTTTTGTTGGAAGGTCTTTGTGTGCTGCCTGATGATGAGTTGGCAAATAAAGCCTTCTCCTAAATGTAATTACTGGCAGACTAGATGAGCAGATTATCAAAAGAATTAGAGAAGATGGTCTAATGGAGCCCTGCTGAGCAATGGCCCTTCCATTATACAGAACATTTAATGTCAAACCTCATGAAGTGAAGTACTGTCAGTCCTTTTCATGCTTTAACCCTTCTTTCTGACAGATGTGTACTCTAACATACAAGGCAGTGTGCTGTGCCGTTGTTGTTGTTTTTTTGTTTTTTTTTATGGAATAAAGTGTGAGCAAGATATAAATGCTTCTCAAATTGAGCTTTACCAGAAGGTGTCAATAGGAGGCCACAAACCAAGGATTTCTTCCATTCTGTATTGATCTTTCCATTTTAGTTTTAAACCTCTTTGGGAAATGTCACTGACTGGAGGCCATGTTTGACCTCATTCTTGTCCTCCCTTGTTCTTGTATTGACTGTTGAGCGTCACAGTTCAATAGTTTTGGCTCAGATAATTTGAGCTAATGGTGGCATTAATGGGTTTATTTTTTGAGGACATTTTTATTTCAAGGTAGTGCTGTCTTATTTGATCGTCAATCGAGCTATTACAGCACCACAGGACTGGCTGCAGGCTACTCACAAAATGTTATTGTTCACAGCATAGGAGCTGAGATGCAAGGCTTTCACTGATAAAAATCCTGTTGGAGAAAGATGCAGCCTTTTGCTGTTTCTCCTCTAGTACATGCTGTTACAGTAGCTTCCCCCGCTGAGCTCTGTTCCATCCTGTGCAGTACAGCTGCTGTGCTGTTCCTGCAGTGAGCTTGGCTCTGATACACTACATCAGAATCGGTTTACTTTTCTGAGATTTGGGAATCGGCCACAGTTAATGACTGCAGCACATGTCGAGAGAGGAAGAAACACATTTTTCTCTTGCAGTTTCACGCAATGGAAAGTTGGAGCGTTGCTCTGCATGTGAGAAGTAGCTGGCTTCAGTTTACTGGAAGAGAACTGGTTCTTTTTTTTTGCCTCAGTGTCAGGCTTCTCATTAGGGCTAACACTGGACTGGTTTCCACCAGGACCAGATCATTTCAAAGGTTTACGACATAGTGCATGTCAGGAGATGTCTGCTCAGTGAAAGTATCAGTGTTTGCATTTTGTTTGTGGAAAGAAAATAGGTTATTTATCATATGAGGTCAAGTAGATTTTTAATCTTATTGTAATGCTGAAATGAAAAACAACATGTTCCTCTTACAGTCTATCAATCTCGTCAACACTGGGGACCACAGTGTGAACACTGAGACAGCTGGCAGCCTCTCTGCCCTGTACAGTATGCTGTACATTATACAGGCTGAACTGACTGCATCACTTGAACTTTACTGTTTTCTCTCTTTCAGGTTTTATGATCACTGGGATTCCTTGGGGATGCATATTGGTTATAGTGACCTTATTGTGTTTATTTGTATTTTATTACTTCTCTGGAATCATAATATGCATCATTAAGGCCATAGATACCATGGAGGACAATAAGGTCACAGTCTCGGTAGGTTTTTTTTTTTTTTTGGGGGGGGGGGGGGGATTTGGGGTTTCCAGCAATGTGGGAGGAATTTATGTTCTTCAGAATTTAAAAAGAGGCTACACTAAAAACTATATTTCATAGTTGTTAATTAAGAACATAACATAGTGAATTTCATTCTTGTATTTTGTAAATTGAGCATAATTATTAGTCTTGAACCAGCAAAATATAAATACATAATGGATTCAACATGTCCCCATCAGAACTGTATTCTTGACAGCAGTGGTGGAACATAACTAATTTAATTCATTCAGCTAATGTACATAGGTATTAATTTGATATACTTTAGCTTGGGTATCTCTCTTTCATGCTACTTTGTTCTTCTACTCCAACTAATGTTAGGAGGCTAATATTACACTTTTTATTCTTCCACATTTATCTGACAACAAAACTGGCATTTTACTAGATAAATTGGCTCCATGTCGACCATCTACAACAGAAAAACTTGGGAGAGGAGGGTAGAGGTATGTGGACTCATCATGACCTCAGTTATCTCTAAAATCGTATTTAATCTTAGTAAAAACATTACCTACTCTCTGGAGTGACACTGGTTACTTAGTAGTCCTGCTAATTTGACTCTGCCAAAGCACCCTTGAGCAAGGCACCTGTCCTCTACAAGTTACCTGGTCCCATTCAACCTGTCGCTGCACTGCTCTATACAAGCAAAGGGAAGGGTTAACACCTGGTTAACACACTGTCACAGTAGGTGGAGCACCGCATGGTGGCGCAGTAGAGCGCCAGAAAGTGAACCTTTAGCAGTTTTTTCTTTCTGGAAAACCATCAATGAGAAGAGTAGATTTGCATGTCCGACCATCTGTACCAATAGGCTCACTGGGAAGGCTGGGTTAGCGGGTGGAGCCGGGGGAAGCAGCCCAGTAAGTGCATAGTCAACAACTAAAGCATCCGATATTACTACAGACAGACCAATTTCAACGGAATCCCACTTGAAACGCCGTGTCGGTCGTTTTTCTCCTTTGGTATAATTGTATGAGTAAGACTGAGTCACTGTGTTGAACCTTTTTATTTTGGTTGTGTGCTTCGACCAGGTTCCACATCGCGTCCATACATCGCTTCCACTTAAAGGCGATTTCGTGAAATTACTAATCAAAGAATATTTTTCTGCATAAACATAGCCCATTTTGCTCGGGGTCCTGGATTTACACAGAGGAGGAGCGGGGAGCTGATCATCCGTCGTTCTCTTGGGTGAGTTCCCCGGATTCCCGTCATGTCTGGCATCACTGTTTACTGACACTTCGGTGTTATATGTATTTAGAATGGTTGAATCCATTAACAAGAGGCGAACGAGCCACTCCAATGTTTGGGGGTAATTGTAATGTTTGGATTCACCTGCAACGCTGTTGGATCACCAGTGGGCCCAAATGTGTGAAATGAATGAAATGTGGCAGCAGCCTTATGATGACGGTTAACATCCTTAATGCACAGCCAAACAGAAACAGCTGTATTTTTGTAAGACTGACCGGATCTTACACATAACTACCAGCACACAGATTGACTCGATATCACGTTAGTGGAATATTTCAAAAATGAATAAAAACTGTAACTTTATAAGCCTTCTGTTGCTCTTGTTATGATCATATAATGTGGTTATTATTGGCGTGGGAATGAAATGTGATATCGATTGAGCTGTGAAGAGTCACAAAGACTATTGGGTAGTTATTAGTTCACAGCTTTGCTTTTGTTGTAGTCTTTCTAGGTATTTTCTACAGGACAGCATGGCCATTGGAACATGTGCCCTGAGTTTTAAAATGTAAGACCATAACAATATCTGTCTCCATGATTCTCTGTGTTCTCTCCATTGCATCATGCTGTGTGATGAATTGTGTGGTTGCATCTTCAGAGGTTTATGCTTTGTTGAAAAAAAAAGTGCTTCTGCTCACTGTGATTTCTCCTTGTTCCCTCTTCTGAATGGGAGATTTGTAGAACACGAGAGCTTAAGCGCCAAAGTATGGCATTCAGATGACTTGGAGGCTGGAATCATAATGCAATCACACACTTAGACACTTGGCACATGCCTTTGTATAGAAGCCTAGTAAACGCATGCGGCTCTATTGTCTGGGGAGCTCCATCTGTTGCATGACATGGCATTCCTCAGACAGCTGGTCATGCTGTTGGGGGGTGGTCTACCCTGACCCAGTCCCTCAAATAGAGTCACATGGGGTGTATTAAAGAGTAGGTGTAGGGCCTAGAGAGTGTCTTGGCCTCCAAGCCGTAGACCACCTGTGTGGACAGCTCCTGGGTTGGGGTGGAATGCTCAGTTTGGGTTGGGGATAGTGGATCACTGATTTTGGTGTGAGATTAGACTAGAGGGGGGGAACTTTGGTTTGGAGCATGGGATCTGTTAAGGCGGAGTTTTGATCTGAAACTAAGTCTGGAGCCGGGGTAAGATATGGCTATAGTTGGTGCTAGAGGAAGGTAAGATTTGGTCCAAAGCTAGGCCTAGTGGAGGGTTAGAGAAAGTGTTAACCCTGGTGCTAAAGGGGAGCTAAATTTGGTATATAGTCAGGGCTAAAAGAAAGCTTGGTTTGGTCTACAGTTTGGTCTAAAAGAAAGATAGGTTTAGTCCATGCATGTGGCTAGTGAATTGCAAGGTTTAGTCTAGAGCTGGGCTGGAAGGCTAAGCTTGATCTGGTGCTGGGGCTAAAAAGGAGCTAGGCTTGGTACAAAATAGGGGCTAGATGGGCTAGAGTAACAGTAGTTTTGATCTAGAGCTGGGATTTGAAGAAAGCTAGGTCCAGGACTAGGGCTAAATGAAGGCTGGATTTGGTATGGAGCTGGGAATAGTACCAAGATACAGTAGCTGTGTTAGTATTTGAAGGCCAAACCAAGGGGCTGCTGGCTATAAATCGGCTCTGACGCAGCTAATCACTGCTGCAGCTCAGTCATCACAAGTAGAACATAATTACACCACCCCAGCCACATAGAAGTACACACACATAAATGCATCCATATACACGTACACTCCCCATTTCCCCTTAGACCATTTCCTCCCGTCCACTGCTTTGATTGCTGCATTAGGACTTAGTTGCCTTTTGTTGTCCATACACTCGACACATACACATTCAGGGGGGAGGGCTGGTCCAGCTGAGACCACAATACAACAGGGATCAAAGGTCATCCAGCTGGCCAATCAGGGTGCTGTCTGGTCAGGGTGGGTCTGCTAAACAAGCGGCTCCACTTCCAGCCCCGGCCCAGCTACTGCCGGCAGTCATGCTGTGCTTCCTCACGGCGGGGCCTCTGAACATTTATTAAACTGCAGCTTACAGTCTTTTTCAGTTTAGAGAAATTCCTTTATTGGTTTAAGACTGGAAATGTAATCAACTGCTTCTAGAAAACTTGTATTCTTGAACCTATAGGAAGAAAAGTTATGATTTAAACTATAAAATATGTATAGAACTGTGGTGAATTATATTTTCTGAACTAAGTGAAATAATTAATCATGGCATATAATTGGTACTCTGCTTGCATGTACTGTATATTACATTTGTAATATACAGTATGTGGGTGTTAATGAATGAAACCAAACACTGCAACTAAACTAAAACCCTTACATCTATTACACAATTCTATTTCTGCTGGTGGGATTAATTAAAGAAACACAATATGATGATGAAATATGAAAGATACTGGAAAGATGGTGAAGAGAGGAAAGATGGACAGAGGTGAGTAGAGGGAAGAGGGAAAAGAGCAGGGCGCTGATGAGGAGAAAGAAAGACTGAAGAGAAATAGAGAGAAGCAAAACAAAATGAACAAAACAGAAACGGAGACCGGAAGGTAGAAATTAGCCAACAGGGACATTGGAAATCACTTGTTCCCTAGTTACCTTCTTTAATATGTGGCAGAAACCCCTCTCCTCACTGGCTGTGATTGTGTCAGTCTGCACAGACACAGGAGATGTATTTGTCTTCTAACATTTCCATCCACATCATCCTTCCTCTCACTTTCCCTCTTACACACACACTTCCATCTCAGCTCTCTAAGAGCATTCACTATGTGCTGAGTGGAGTTATCTGATTTCTGCAGGACAGTGAAATGCAGCCACTCCTTTCCCCCGTGTAGTTCCATTACTCCACACACTAATGGCATGCCTATTGTTTTGTTTAGGTGTCATTTGAAATTACTTAACATTTATGGGGACTGATAAATGATTGGAGCAGTGGATTTGAATGCCTATCTAGTGAACACTCATGTGCGAAGGCAGTTATTTGTGTTTTTCTTTCTGTGTTTGCCCACACGTGTGTGTAGAGGGATGCTCGCTTTCTTGTAAGGATGTGTGTGTACGCATTTCCCTGGCGATCAGCAGTCTATTTCTTTGTTTCAGCGGCGGTTTTCTCTGCAGATAACAAGGGAAGTGGAAATGGGTCCTTTTCCTCAGCCACAGCTCGGTATGGAGCACTCATTCCAACTAATAACTATCACTTTGAGTTGCAAGGGTTGCTTTTTTGTCTCATTGGGGTTTTGTTTATTTTTTGGTGATGACGACCCATTTCAGCATGTTTAGCTGTTGAAGCTCAGATGTGATATCACAATGAAGGACTTGCATTTAAAACCTCCAAAACAAAAATAAGTCACACCACATCCCTCCCTCAGGGTTTGATTTAATCTATAACTTTTTCCAAGCTTTTAGCCACTGCTTTGTTTAGACTACTGCTTTCTGATTGTTTCCACATGGTTTGTTCCACTTAGCACCTACTGTGAATATCCAATCCAGAATGCTAAAAACTGCATACCGCCTTCTGCAGTATATGTGCTGCCTTTGAGTATTTTGTACAAAAAGTGTGGACACCTGTTAACACAGTTCCAGTGGCCAAATAATTAATCATCCCTCCCTTCTATTACTCCACTGGTAAAGTGTGGACAATGTTAGATTCTGGATTAAGGGAATCATTTGAAATTTTTGGAATTATGCTTATTTTCTTTTATGCTGACAGTTAGATGAGAAGATTGATACCTGTCTGTCCATTAAATATGAAGCTACAGCCAGGACACAGTTAGCTTAGCATAAGGAAATGGCTAACTTGCCAGTTTAGCCTTCAATGTGAGGTTTCTGGGAAGTTACTTCTTTCCAGAGTCTGTTTTGACTAAGAGATATTCAGACGCATAATCCCTCTGTAAAACCGCAATCTGCCATTTTTACAGCTTTTTAAAGAATTAAACAGATGTGACATAACATGTTAATTAGTGATCAGGCTAGCTGTTTCATCTTGTTATCACTCTTTATGCTAATGCAAGTTAAACTAATGATATTTTAGATATATCTTCATATTTAGCCATCAGTAAAAACCGATGATTTTAATGGTTGCCAGTATGAATCCTGTACCCAACCAGGAAATCTTAGGCAGGGAAATTAATAAAGCTCTCTCCGTCCTTCACAACCATTACCGACATGTCCTTGAATAAGGCACTGAGCCCCTCCACCCTGTCTGATGGGAAATTATAGCTCTTCTTGACCAGGTTAGATGACATTTAGATGTGTGAAAAAACTTTCCCTGCATTAAAAAAAAAAACTCAGGATAGTATTATCAAGATTCTCCATTTGATGGTACAGGAATGTAAATGAGCCTAGTCTGTCTGCACTCTAATGCATCAGAGGAATGCTAGCATTGTTAGTTTCTAATCGTGTGTTATTTACAGTACCTACAGCCTGTATTGTTCTGCTTTGATTCAAAGCCCATACAGTGCTTGTGCTAAGCTTTGGTTCCATCGTGTGGAAAAAAACCCACCATTTAATATGATGCTGGCCTCTTTGCTGCGCTATTTCAGAGTGACACTGAGGGAGAGAGATTGTTAGCGACAGACAGAACCAAAGTTAAATCTTCCAGAGCACAGAGGGGCCTATTCAGTGTGCTATGTGAAGAGTGGCAGGGGAGAGAGAGAGAGAGAGAGAGAGAGATGTGGCAGTGAAGAAGGAGGGGTTGGGATCGAGGAGTGGGGTGACGACACTTAAAGTGGTTTTTACAGTTGACAGCGTGCATCTGTGTGGTGGTGTGTATTATATAGCTCCACAGGCCGGCCTGAAGCAGTTAGAGGCACAGTGAAGAATGGACGACAGCTGATAGCAGTTTTCTGTCGATATGGGAATGAAGCTCTGAGGGCATGTGTGTGGCAGAGAGATGACTTGAGAGAGGGGACACTTTTCAGTTCATATGAGAAAGCAGTCACAAGTTACCTCCAGCTGAAAAAAAAGATTTAATCACTAGAGAAAATGGGGCCGTGTCTGCGCTTTTACTTTGAGCCCTGTGTGAGTAAATGTGGGATCGCTCACTCACTGGTGTGCATGTGACAAAACATGACAAGGCCTAGCAAACTAAAGGTAAAGGACAAGAGTGTAGGTCAAACCTGCTGGAAAGGTTTACACAGAGTGAAGGGTTTTGGTTGGCTCTCTAATCAGAAACTCTACTTAGCAATGCTTAATAGAGCTTGAATGATATATCACCCAAATATATATCAGCCAAGCTTGGTGCACATTATATTACTGCCTGTGTTAAGATACAGTTTAATGATCAACTGATATCTTGGGCACATTAATTTACCACCCAACACCCATATTGTTATAGCTGCTGTTTAAGAACTATAAATCTTGGTGGAAGAATAAGGTGACACTGTTTAACTATTACTGAGTATTAAAAAGGATTGAAATAACATTAGTGCTCTTGATTTGTCATCTCAACAGTGTGTTACTATATGTATCAATACAATAACTTTGTGGTGATTTTTAGATCAGCAGAAAGGCACTTTGTCTCACCCCTTTTAGCACTTTTAGCCGCTCTTTGGTTGTGGCAACAAATCTAACATTTGATTTCATTTTGGTTGAAGTTCATGACCATCAATCAGGTGTTTCATCTTGTACCCTTAAACTGATCATGCCAGTAGGACACACTGACCAAATAATACGGTATTGCTGGACATCAGTAGGCAGGTAGTGTACTTGTTAATGAATTGACTGCCCTGTTAAAATTCATCACTGATGCCAGGAAGAAACAAGGAAACAGGTTACTCTTGCAGAGTTTTCTTTAATCAGTAATAAATCCATCTGTAAAAGATTTTCATTGCAAACCAGTTCTGGCTCACCTCCTGATACAGTATGTGTGTAAGATGTCTAATACCATAGCAAATGGGTAAATAAGGTTTTTAGTTTACAGAACATTTTCTCTGTTTACTGGGGCTATGACTCATGGTTCCTATGGCGAAGATCTGTGACAGCAAGGCAGCTGATAAGGAGCATCTCACTCCACTTGACTGTACTCCCTTCATCTCTCTCCACCCCCATTAGTTTATCAATCTTGATTTATTTCTTTTACCTCTGTTCATCTTGCTGTCTTTCCATCTTCCCTGCAATATTTTCTCACTCTCATCTCTTGATGCAGCTCTTGTTGTTTTTACTCTACGTATTCATCAGATTTGCAGGTGTCATCTTTTATTTCTGTCTATGTTTCCTTGTCTTCTCTTCCTTTCTCCATCTCCTCTCATACCTCTCTTTAATTCTGGAGCACTCAACAGTCTTTCATATATCTCATATAGATTTTCTGATCACACCATCGCCCTTCACTGCTCCTCTCTTCTTTTCTCCTCCTCTCATCTCAGCCCCTTCCATCTGCCTGTCTTTCTGTGGTGGCCAGCTGCATGCCAGATGTGGCCCAACCTCCTAGCTCTTGGCATCATGATCCATGATCATGAAAGGGGGAAGAATGACTGATTTCTCATGAAAAACAAGGCACAATAATCCTCATAATACAATAAGGATAAAGATATTAAATATACCTGTAGTGAGTTTCACAGACGATGTAAATTTCTTTGTCACAGGAGATTAAAATGTTATTAGACTAAGGTCACTGTTAACTACCACAGAGTGACATTACTGTCTGTATGACAATAGAGGCTTGAATTCATTAGAAACTGCAGAATAGAATCACAGAGATGCACATGAATATGCCACAACCCAGAAGGAGATTGTAACAGTGTTTTCACTAAAATCTATACTAAAGTATATTGGTTGAGTTTGAGGTAGAAGGCGGACAGTAAGACAAACAAATAACTAAAGAAGCTACAGGCAGAGTCGTGATCAGGGATGCAACAGATGGAAAGGTAGAAGAGAGAAGGGGGGGAAGACGAGTGAACTGACTGAGGGATAAAATGTCACTGAAGTGACATTCATTACAGGATGATTAGTTAAAATATTTCAAAATGCACCTGCATTGTTTTGCATTTTGTGATTTTCAGTTGAATAAAAGACAGTTTTTCCAGCCATGTATTTTGTCATTAAAGATTTCTTTAAAATAGTATTAAAATATCTTGTCTGGTGAACCCAATATCGTGTATTATCTCATCTTGCAAGTGTATCATCACACCCCTAATTGATCGTGTTAGCACTTGGAGTGGACTGTATGTATCTGTCATGACTGTGTAGCAGTTGTGTGGCAAATGCTTAAAAGGGCTATAGAAAGCAACATTTTAATTGTTTGTCGGTGATTACACAGGAACCATAATTTCCTCTCAACCCTTGCTTGCTAAAAAAAATCCTGCCTTTTCCTTTATCTTTCACAGTCCTTTTCATTTCCTCTCAAAATATCAATTTCTTCATCCATCTCATTTCCCCCCTTTCTCTTTGTCTGCCTCTTTGGGCCAGGGATGGTGGCACTCTCTGCCTGCCGGCTCCCAGAGGAACAGATCTGCCTTTGTCTGTCTGCACTGTAGGATGATGACTAGCCAGTCCACCCAGTAAGCCCATCAAGCCCAGTAGGGATTCAGGGGTTGTCTGTGGCGAGCCAGCCACCCAGAACGCCTGTAAATCAGCCAAGCCATTCAAGGTAGGGCCTTCCCGGTCTGTACAGCCAGCCAGTCAGCCAGTCAGGTATTGTGCTCTGCATTCATGACTACTAGGGAGAATGGATGGGAAAGCACATTGCAGACAGAGACAGAGAGACTGCAGACTGCAAATGTTTTCCAAGCACAACCAACATACACAATGAACCTGAACAGAAGCACTGCCATTCAAAAACCCCCCTACATAGTTGGGCAAATTCCAAAATGTGAAATGATTGCAGCTCAATTAATTTCTTCATGACATGACCTGAGAGCTACCAGTGAGAATTGGTAGATGATTTACAATGCCACATGACATTGTTGTTCTCAAGTACCACCTGTTTTTGAGTTTATTTTACTTGTTGAATCTAATTAAATTATATATATTGTTTCTCTCTTGACTGTTGACTTCCACAAAGTAGCCCTGTATTTGAGCGGACTCGGTTGTGTTTTTGTAATGCATGTCAGGCAACCGATAAGCTGCTATATTAATGAATCCAGCTGTCAACGCTGCCTGCATGTCAGCTGGCATATTGCTTGCCTTTGCAGGTGTAGCGGCAACCTGAAGCCTATTTTTAGCTTCAAGTCAATTTTTTTGGAGCTATGTGCGTAAAACACTGCACTCAATCGACCAGACAATGAAAGCTCACTAGTTCCTGCCATCTTAGTTTAGCACAAAGAGTGGAAACAGAGGTAAACAAATAGCCTTCTCTTTCTGATGGTAACCAAATCCTCCAAGCACGTGTAAAGCTCATGTTACTACTAACAATAACTGGTTTTATGGCTTGTTCTGACTCTGAAGGTAATGTGGTCCCTAAATAATAATTAAGTAGTTTGCTTCTTTTTCAGCAATGTGAACATTCCCAGCGATATTCCAAATGAAATGAATAAAAATAAATGTAATAAAAGCAAAAGAGAGAGCATAGATATGTAAGGAGGCATGGAGAAGCATTGAAAGTACACCACCAGCTTACTGGTGACTGGGTCCCTTGTTATCTGTCTGCAGAAACTGAAACGATGACAGTCTTTCTTTGGAAAAGGTTCCTCTGTCTGCACAAAGCTCTTCTCCCATCCACATCCGATGCCTTTTGGGATAGGAAACCATAAACATCCAGTAACAATGATTTTTTTATTATATTTCAAATTTGAAACTAGTTGACATCATTATTCACAACACTATCCTTCTTGAAATCATTTTTACTGCTTTCAAATGATTCTACAAGCATGATGAAATTGACAATAAAGCGAGAGTACTTTGTTTTTTCTTTAGTTATGTTTTAATGGATGAGGCTCCAGGCACCTCAGGCCTCAACAAGCCTTAACAAGAAGATCAATAGAAAGTATATAGACTGTCCTCCCACAGGCTGTGTCTCGTCTCGGATCACAGAGGAATATTGTGGAGATGCCAAGGCGACACCCCGCCAGCGCAGAAATGATTTGATGTAATGGGAACACTGTGGTGTGATTAGTGGAACCTCTTTTGCCTTCATCTCTCACCTTGTACAACCACTGTGAAGCCAATATGTCAGGGGAGGTGAGCATGCATTTGCCATTCTCTTTAAGCTTCCCTCCCTCCCTCCACATCACCCCACGTCTGCCTGTTTTTGTAAACAGTAGAGCACTGTGGGTTACACAGAGAGGAGAAGAAGATAGCGAATATGCTAAGGAATTGTGAGCTAGGAGAATAAAAATAAATGGCTGCCGGGCTGCACAACACGCTGACTCGGTCATGTCCTGGATTGTCCAGTTCACCAGATGGCTGTTTGGTATGTGCAAGAAGAACAGACCAACACTCACTAGGCTCTGCATTCTTGAGAGTTAGAGGAAGATCTCAACCTCTTGTACACCCCAACCTTTCTCAGCTGTAGACCAGCTTTGAAGCATTTTTTCTCATCACTCACTCTCACACATTCACAGAAACCCTTAATATACACCACACAGCTTTTGTCCTAACATGGATTTTTGTTTACATCCTGGCAGGAAACTCCCACACAACATGGCTCAGACACAGACTCTGGTGAGGATATACTGGTTCTCTTGCTGAGGTGTTGCACGTGAATGTGCACAGCCCATTTTCTAACAACCTAACATACTGGCTTCTTATTGTCTTTTCCCTGGAGACTTGTGTTGATGGACAGAGCAGCTGCATGTACCTGCTGTCTGTGAAGTGTGGGGTTGCTTACGCACATTGTCTAAGTGTTTGCCTGAGGCATCGGATTTACACAGTAAAGTTACAGAGATTTGGCTAACGCCCCCCCCCAGTGTGCTGTGCTTGCTGTGCCCACTTTCTCCCGTGTGTACCAGAACATCATATGTGAAATGATATGAAACATACATATGCATGGTTATGAAAATAAGCATGAGAAACTACACAGTGTTCAGTGTTATACTGCAAAATGTAGAAGTAAATTACTCTCATATTCAGCCTTAAAATCTTTCTTTTAACAGTTACTTTTTATTGGTGCTTTCAACCATTTGTAAAGACAGTTAAGCATCATGAAACAAAACAGATTAAAACATGACAGTATTGGAAAAATTTGGTAAGATATGCCAAATAAAATAATGTTTATATTTATTTAGTAAACTGTATTGTTTACCACTGTAAGTGATCCTCTGTTAGTATACACTGCAGACCATCTGTGTATGTGTAAGTCATAAAGCTCCTCGTGTTTGTGAATTTATTCATGGATTTATGTAGGTCTGTGTTATCTAATACAATCTGTCTCTATCTAATATTCACACAACCAATCCTTGAGGGTAAAGTGACTGGGAAGAGGAGAGGAGACAAGAAGGGAGGAGAGGAGGGCAGAGGATTTTGCATGCCAGTAAACAGAAGTCTTCCTAGAAGTCTCCTGGCTTTAAAATGGAATCCTACACAGAACGGATTTAAAGCACACACGCAAAAACGTTGCACACACACACATGCTTGCTGTGTTTTCATTCCTTGTGGGGACTTTACATTGACTTATATTCATTTCCTATAGACTTATCCTAACCTTAATCATAACCACTACTTGCCTAACCCTGACCCTGACCTTAACCATAACCTAATTAACCTCACCCTAACCTTAAACTATGTTACCACCCTAAAATTCAGTGATTTCCTTGTGGAGACCGACCTCTGCTCCTCATATTACAAGGATGGCTGAGTCCCCACAGTGTGAGTGTGTTAACAGGTTTTGGTCCCCATAATGGAAATAATACGAAGGCACACAAACACACTGAGAAGTGCTACTGCACTCAGTTAGCTGTTATGCAGTACCTAGCTCAGAAAGTCTGAACTGTACTGCATACACTTAAACAGTAGATGGATTCAAATATAAGTTACACATATATGCATATATTTATAAGTGTGTTTAATGTGCCAGATTCATACACACACATCCCCAGGAAAACTATGGTTGCTGGTCATAGGAGCTGTAAAGGCCCTGAAAAACAATTTTCTCAGCCACATTTTTACAATAAGTGAATAATCAGCACCATTTCTGGCAAGTTTGAACAGTTTTGGTTGAGAGGTTTTTGGGGGGTTTGTTTTCTTAGTGTTTTTCTTATTGGTTTGAAACAGGCTGGACTTAGTTGGAAAACACACACAAATATTACTGTGCAATTTGAAACAAATGTGATGGTCTGGTCTGAGCCATCTGCTGATGTTATACCAACCAACCAACCTGGGCCTAATATTACTTTTTTCCTTTTTCTTTAAAGCCATCAGTGTTTCGCCTTAGCCATCTCTGTACCTTCTCTCTGCATGCTCTTTTTTCATGGTATTCTCCACCGACAGAGCAGACTCAACCCAGATTCAACTATGACAGAGAACAAAACAAGAGCTGAGCTTGAATCAGTTACTCTATTGATTTAGTGATCCTCAGAATAAGCACTTCTGAAGTGATGTTGGCCGCTTTTCCTTTTTTTGTTTAAATCTCAGCTGATTGGTGCTGATCTGCTGACAGCCTGGATGCAGGCCACGATGCAGGAGGCAGCAAACAGGGAGGAGGTGAGAACCATTAGTCAACATCTTTCTCTTCCAAGAGGAATCTGAGATGCTCTGTTGGAGTGACCACATTATTTTTTTAGAAGATCATCATTATGAATGATGTCTTCCACTAAATTATCATATTTATGTCAGGTTTGGCATTAATTGTTGATTTTTTTCTTACAAACTTAATGGAAGGCATGAACCTTAGTCAGATGAAACACAATAGATTATTGTCATCGGACAAAATAATCAGAATGTTGATAATTGCTGCATAAAGTCTGCTGTATATGAAAAACAGCTTGCCTTTCCCCTGTTCCAGCACTGCTGAAGATAAATTTGCTTCTCTGCATTGCCTCACAATTATGAGTCACAGGCTTTGAGCCATAGTGAGCTAGTCAGAGAACCCATCTCTGTCGGAGGAGGTGCCTTGGAAGGCATCTGGTTAAGAATAGTTTTATATCTTCACAGCTTTTGTTTGGGGTGTGGTGCTGTGTTTTACTAAGTCTGTCTCAACACTATTATGGAGCAATCAGAGAGACAACTCTCCTCCTACTGACAGATGGTTGCATGTGGTGTGTGTGTACTTCTGCCTAGATTTGAGGTTTCTGGGTTGTGAGGGGGAGGGGAAGTGGCGTTTGGGGAGGAAGAGGAGGTGGAGAAGTGTGGGGAGAGGTCAGAGGAGGCACAGCTGGTGAGACCCCGGCTCCAGCCAGCTGCTGCCTCAAAAGAGCCCGCCAGCAGCCTGCCTGCCTGCCTGGCTGCATGTTCCTGCCGCTCTCCTTCTCTTCCTCTGTCCTGTCACCCACCCCCTGCCTCTGTTGTGTCCCCCTGCAGACTCAGCCCAGCTGTTCCAAGCTTTCCACTTTCCTTCCCTGACACTATGCGCCCTGATCCCCACAAAAAAGAAAAACCTATCTTGTATGCATGCTCTTGAGCGCACACACGTACACATAGGCACCTATAAACCTGCCCACGACCTTTACAGGAATCCATTAAGTGACATCAAAGGTGTCCCAGGCACGGTGGCATATCTGCAGCACCTCTGTAGGACCGAATTAAGGCCTGAGGCTGGAGTAAATCCAGCATGAGTGGGCCCTCCAGGTTGTGGCCATCAGTCGATTTTGCCCATTAATTACAAATTGTGAAGCGCCTACATCACTGCTGACCTTTTCCCTGGAAGCCACTACTTTCATTTTTTCCAGTTAAGCCATAAAAATCAACGTGAAACATGCTAAATATAAGAATTTCACATTCGTTCACAGGAAAAGATTCATCACCAACACATTAGCATTCTGTAATAAACAAGGTATGCAGAAACTTTTCAGTTTAGGCAGTTTGAAAAGTTGGACATTTGGAATGTCGTAGCAAATTAGTGTCAAAAATGTATATTATATTTACAGGAACTTATTAAATTAAACATACACTGCTTTCATACGTTGATAGAAAAAACTAAAGTCAAATATGTTAAGGTGTTAAAGGTACTGAATAACAATGGAAATTGATATTATTTAAAAATGTAGGAAGGATCAATGCAATGAAATGCATCATGGTTTCTGACAGGAACCAGGCTAAGAATCTGCAGCCATGCTGATGATTCTGTGAAGCTCTGCTTAGAGTCTTTAGCTTTTGGCTAACATGCTCACAAAGACAATGCTAACTCGCCTATGCTCAGCAGGTATAATGTTCACCATCTTAGATCATGTTACCATTATTTGCTCATTTGCAGACAGATGTTGCTGATGAGAATCTCATTAGTTTTGCAGCTATTTGGCCATAAACCAGTGTATTGGACAAACAGTTATAATGTTGACCTGATAATGGCACTAGATGACAAGCTATTACAGTTCATCTACAGTATAGGGGGACCATGAATGTCTCTACAAAATTTAAAGGGAATCCATCCAGTAGTAAGCAGCACAAGTGTGGCTAAAACGTTCACTGTGCAGCAATTGACTCTCACAGCCCTTATGTTAGTTTCCTTGAAACAAGTGCTTACTCTACACACACCAACAAAAACTAAAGTGGACATGGACTCATGCATGTTTTATGTCTCTGCAAGTTGATTTTCATGCTGTTCTTAAATGAATAAAATTGAGTGGCTGCCTAAAAGGTATAGGAAGCCAGTCTGAAAGCATATGGCATGCTTTGGTGAATAGGCTGCATTCATGTAAACATCCTTTGGACTTAATGGGCAACACATGCAAAACCACTAGTATTAGGTTTCAAACTAAAGTGAAGGAGTGACTGATAACTTAACAATAAATTAATAGGCTCACTAAACGGAGCACTGGTACTAATTGTTTCTTTCCTTATTCTTTTAAAAGTTCAAATCTGAACCCAGGGCCACCCAGGCTGCACCTTACCATTCCTAGTTGCAGTGGGTGCTGGGGTGTCACACCCTGTCTTTCCCTCTCCTCCACTGCCATTGTTCCTGTGATGACAAGGCCCACGTGCCCCCCTATTCAGCATCCTGGTGGGGGGTAGGCGGGCTCTTTGTCTGCCTGCAATTGTCCCAGACACACGCTTCCATTTGACGGACACACGTGCTGACAAAAGAGAAAGGGTGCGGAGGAGGAGGAGGAGGGGCCACCACTGGCCTTTATTCTTGGTGGTGGTGGCGGTGAAAAGACAAGATGCGCTGGCCATCTGTGGTGCATGTCTGTAATCTGTATTGACTTGGGGGGGGGGTCACTGCACACACAAAAAACATACACACACTTCTCTGTTTCTAAAAGAATCCCTCTCTTTTGTTTTGCCACGCTTTTCTGGGGGTATGATGCCTATTGAGGCGGTTTCCCTTTGCTTTGTTTTGTTTTGCTCTGAAGTGGGGAGTGGAAGGAAAAAGAGGCTGATATGGTTGACGTTGCTCTACTACCTTGGGGAATTCTTTTCTCCCCTCTGTATGTCACGGTGACTATTGTTGAGTAGGCCTACGTGTTTTCTAGCAACAGCCCTAAGCACCAGTTCACCTCTACTCTGTTCCTCATTCTCTGGCCTTGGACAGCTCAGGTTGTTTGAGGGTCATCAACTCCACAGCGTTT